GAGAGTGAAAGAGTTTTATTTGTTTTGTTTTTTGAGAAAGCAGGATTTATTGAGCAGATAGAAATGCTCCCACAGTGGGAGAGGACCTGAAGGGGTTGCCCGAGAGTAAAGAGTTTTAAACATCACAATTTAAAAAAAAAACAAAAACCCTTGTTACAAGATTTAGAATAATGTGTTATTTTAAAAACATGTTAATGTATCTACATTCATGTCACTGAAATCCAAAGATATTCTCTGGTTAAACATTTATTATTTGTGGGAGTGTGAAACTTGTTTTTTTCTTGTTTTTAAGTTTCAAGAACCCAGTCTTGTGTTCTAAGTAAATTATATGCCATGAGATTATTTTTTATACTCATTCTGAACACAAAGCGTAAAGCTTTTCATCTAAGCTTTGGATGAAATATGTTATTTGTATTTGTAGCACCTCAATGTGCAGCTGTATTATAAATCAGTACAAGCAGGTTTTCAGGACACTTTCCTTAAAAGAGCAAGGTCTAGTATTGAATGTAGATACATGGGATTGTTTGTATTGTAAACCTATGTAACTCTGGAAATGATTTGCCAAGGCAATAATGAGCCAACACGTGGACCTGGAACATACACTGTTAATGACTGGACTTTAGTAGATGAACAAATCTGAGTTAAAGTTAACTTTAAAAAATCACTCCAAGCCAGGCGTGGTGGCTCATGTCTGTCATTCCAGCACTTCGGGAAGCAAAGGCGAGAGGATTGCCTGAACCCAGTGGATTGAGACCAGTCTGGGCAACTTGGCGAGACCTTGTCTCTACAATAAATCAAAAAATCAGCCAGACATGGTGGTGCACTCCTGTGGTTCCAGCTACTTGGAAGGCTGGGACAGAAGAATCACCTGAGCCCAGCTGGTGGAGGTTGCAGTGGCTGTGAGCGTGCCACTGCACTCCAGTCTGGGTAACAGAGTGATACTCTGCCCGTGGTACCTCATTAGAGATAATGAACTGAAAGAAGTCTGCTAACTACCCAAACATTGAAGCCTACAAGAGCTGCACCTGGGCCAGCTCTTTTTCAAATGTCTTAATTTTGCTTTGCAAGGAAGAAATGTTGTCTTCAATCTTGTGAAAGTTAAAAAGTGTGAATTGATTTTTCATCAAAGTAAATTAATGTATTTAGGTAATATATAAAGGCTTCTAACATTTAAGACCAGCTATTTAGTATTCACAACAATCTTTTCCATCAGTTGAAAACAAAAAGGCCTTGAAAGTTGAATATAATGCAGTAAAGCACATGTGCCACTTTGCACTGGCTGATGGAGAAGCAGATACAATTCAAGTTTCTCTGGTTCTTGTCTGTTGGTAAAGACACAGTCAGCTTGCCTGAGAAATTAGTTAAGCCTTGCATCCCACCACATGCACTTATTAAAAAGGAAAAGATTCTTTATGAAAAAAGCAACTGCTATAAAAATACTTTAGAGTCACCTTGCTGTTCTAGAGTTAATAAATCTAAAATCTGAAAATATTGTCATGCAGGTCGATCAAGTCCCAGACTTCAGAAAAATGACCTTCTACTGTACTTTAATTACCTGCTACCTAACTGGCCTCAGGTTTAGTAGAGATAAGAGTCAGAGAAGGAAGAATTGGCTAAGAATCCAGGGCAGTGGAATGTTAATCTTGGAGTTCCAGCCAGCAAATCCAGGCTCCCATATTTAGAAACAAAGATTTCCTCCGCCCCTATTGGCCTTCAAATGCTCATGGCACTTGCTTTGGAACCATAAAGATGAACAGCAAAGATTTGTTTTTCCACCATATTTTCTTCTTTTTTTTTTTTTTTTTTTTTGAGTTGGAGTCTCACTCTGTCGCCCAGACTGGAGTGCAGTGGCCACTCCCGGCCACCGCAGCCTCGACCTGCTGGGCTCCGGCGATCCTTCTGCCTCAGCTTCCAAGTAGCCAGAATTACAGGCATGTGCTACCATGCCCGGCTGATTTTTCGATTTATTGTAGAGATGAAGTCTCGCTGCCCAGGCGGGTCTCGAACCCACGGGCTCAGGCAATCCACTCACCTCAGCCTCCCAAAGGCGCGGGATTACAGGCTGAGCCACAGAGCCCGGCTTATTTTCTTCTTCTTTCTAAAATTGCTTACTTGTTCAAATTACAGTACATGCTGTGGAACAATGTTCTCAACCGCCTCCCATCCCAGCTGCCATTCCCACCATGATGGGGGAGAAATGTTTACCTGCATGCTAAAGATGCTCAGATTGTACATGGCAACACAAATAAAATCCACTTGCATCTGCACATTTTCCAAGTCCCTACCTATAAATTCCACCCCTACTATCATTGCATTGATCGAACATTTACTATGTGCCAGCATCTAAGTGCACTGCATGTATTAAACTAATCCCCATGGCAATCTATGATAGATACCATTATGATTCTTACCTTATATATGAGGAAACTGAGGCATGGAGAATTTAAGTAACTTCAAGGTCACACAGCTAGTAAGTAAATGGCAGAACTAAGATTCAAACTCAGATAATCTGGTCTCAGGGTTCTGTTTTCAGAATGCACGTGAGTAAAATATCAGAGAGATAATTTACTCTAACATATTTTTAGGTCTATTATTTGCAAATGATAGTATTTTATTATTAATAATCAATTACTTAGAAGGTATCTCACAATGATGGGGCTCACTAGATATTCACAGAACTCCACCAACATGTAAGAACTTAAGGCAATGTCTTAAATGACCCCAGAAATCTAACAGTTTAAACTTGACTAGTGAAGATGGCTTGAGAATTTATTGCTTTCCCTACACCAAATTATGCAAAGTAAAAACTGTTTTTCCATTAATTTTCAGTACAAGTTTCCTGCCACAATTTTTTCCTGTATTTATATCAGACTGAAGGTCTTTATGGTATAAAAACTAGAATATTCTACTTCTACAATGTTTATTACCAATGTATCAAAACTCTTTAGAATCCTGATCTTCCTGAGGAAAAAGAAAAACCAAAAGTCAAATACCTGGCCTCAGCTTACAGAATTGTAAGAAAGTCAAAGACATAGTTTCAGACTTTTGATATAAAAACTTCTATTTACTCTAGTGGGGAAGAAACATTGGTTTGAAAAACTATTAAAATTAATTAGAAGTTTCAAGTACATCAGATGTAAAATCATGCATTATGTAAACATACTTTCAAGGTGAATTTCTCAGAAATTCACTTGAACTAATTTAGCCTCTTAAATGTCTGTCTCCCTCTCACAGAAGATATCAATAACAGAGAAAATGTTTTATGAATTGCAATTTATCTTGTTTCATGGATGACACTCAAAAGGCATATCAGGATGAAATGGACAGAAAGATCAAAATACAATCATATAAGAAAAAAATTTACTTACCTTGTGTTATCTTCTGAAAGTAACTCATAAGTAGGCTGATTTTTGAAAATCTAATTTAGTTCACCTTGAAAATGTAATTGAGCTGCAAAATAGATTCTACTTTAACAACTTCCTGATATAAACCACTTAAAGACAAAGTCAAGCGATGCCACCTACAGGGGACCTTTAGAACAACAGTCATTTCTATAACCCATAGTTTAATATCTATAATCTGTGTTAATATCACATTTGGCATCATTTAACAAGGAAAATTTCAAGAAGGGTAAGAAAAAATTAAAAGGCATGCCGTGTTAAAAAAAAACCCACTAATATCTGGTTTCTTAAAATAATTAAAAATAATTTAACTTTATTCCCAAGTTCACCAAACAGATTAAGACGCAAAGTTAAAACTAGTATAGAGAAGCAATTCAAGTCACTGGAGACTAAACGTGCAGTAATTTTTAACTGTTGAATCCTCTTTTCCTCCTACGTAGTGTTACCTTTACCTTCTTGCCCAGATTCTCTAAATGCTCAGATATGTAGTCTATTTCAGTTTCTAAAGCTCAGTCTTGTTTATTTTTAAACCTTCTATTTCATACAAGACCACATCAGATTGAAAGCATCTTTCCTCTCTATGCACAATAGGCCTACTCTAATCACAGATGGTTTGCTTTTTATACGGTCTCCTTTCTTTGCTCTCTTCCCTTTGTTAAGTAGATGCTAAAAGAGGTTTCTTTGTTGCAATCGTTCTCAATTTAGGCTAAACATGAAAACCATCTGGAGCCCTTTAATACAAAAACCATGCCTCTGATTAAACTGGACTAGGATGGGGCCTGAGCATGGGCTGTTTGCTTTTAATTTTCCAGGTGACCAGTGTGGAGCCTGGTTTGAGAAGGGTAGCCTTAAGGAGGGTTGTAACCCTTCCTGTTCCTGACTGTAACTATATTCTGGTAAGTGGCTTATGGGTTCCACTGTGTGGCAACTCACACTTGTCCAGAGGACTAGGTGCTCATTTCTGAGCGGTTTCCCCAAGCATTGGCAGTCCTCAGCTAGTGACATTGCCTCATCTGTTGCACCTGCCTTTTAATCCACCCCCACGTTGCTACACAAGTCATGCATCTATCCTCAGGTTGGCAGGGTGCATCTTCAATACCTCTCTACCTCAGTCCCATCACCCCTTCAAACTCCATGCTCTGGAATAAAAGAGTTGAGCTAATCTGCTGCTGCTGGGTAAACACGAATCCAACCAGAAGGGAAAATTCTTGCCTCTCATTCCTGCAAGCATCCTGAATCGTGTTACTTCCTCAGGCCGCCCGCCTGTAGTTTCTGAGTCTGTAGTTTCTGAGTGTGAATGCGACCTGTTCCACTCCCCCAGGGGAAGAGCCTGAATGGCTCTCATTCCCCAAAACAGCACTGCTCCAAGACGCGGGCTCTCCCAGGGCTCCCCAACTGTCCATGGAATGGTGGTGACAAAGCATGTTCTCTGGACTGGCATTCCTCACCATCACTGATTTTGTCTGTGAATGTGGGACTTGGCCCCTTTTACCTCAGCTTTGGCCTTATTTCAGAACAGGAAAAATACCCACTTGAAGTTACAACTTACTTCTACAGTCAGTCAGTATCTTAGGTCAGTCCCCCAGAAACAGACAGAGATGAACATATGCAAACGATTTATTAAGGAGGGGATAATAAAAGAGTGGGAACAGCAGGATAGTGGAAAGGGGGAAGTCAAACAAGGGCGCAATTGCAGGAAATTGCATAGGGGCTGACTTCAGCCTGATTCCTCCAGGAAATTTTGGAATGGAAGTCTTACCTGTCCAAGACAAAAGAGCTGGGCTTTCCTACAGCAAAGTCAAGGGACACTTCAGGCTGAAGGCCCACAGGCATATTAAAAGTAGAGTGAAAGGAGGGTGTAAACAGTGGAGCAGGGTGAAAAGGCATTTGAGGATCCTGGATGGACTACTATAATCAGTCAAAGGCAAACTTAAATTGCTTAATGAAAAGAAAGGGCAGTATGAACAAAACATAGGAAAAGAAGAGCGAAGCAAGCATCAGAGATTGAAGTAAGCGTGAAAGAAGTGTTCCCTTGTCTTTGATCCTTAATTCTCTAAATAAGGCTGTTTGCTCTTTCTGGAGAGTAGTCGCCTGCTTTAAGTGTTCATTTTTTTCAAAGCTACCTCTGAAACAGTCACAAAGTCACAGGATCTCAAAAACAATGTGTATTTTAACACCTAAGATGTGCCATCTAGCACCAATGCCTATAAGTACCAGAATTCCATCCAGTTACTATTCTTTGAAACTGGTATAACTAAAGTTCTTGACAGATTAGTATATGTAAGCAGATGATTATTGTAACACAGAGATGACATCGAATAAAAATTCATTTGGTAAATGAATATAGAACTACATTTGTAGTTCAGAAAACCTTTCACTGTTTCATTCAAACACATTAACTTAATACCAGTGTTTTTTAGCCAAGTTTTCCTGGAAGATATACATGAGGGAAAGGGCGTGAGCCATGTAAATACTTAAGTCTGAAGCTGAGCTTTCTATCCTCGCTCTTCTCAAATGAAACATCTTGTAAAGTTACCTTTTGTTGCTTCAACCTCCTGGTTTGTTTTCTTAGCACTTCATTATAGTATCATTTACTAATTAAATCACATAGATATTTATGGTAGAGGAAAAGAATAAAACTCTGGCCAATATAAGTATACAATTTCTCAGCTCTTTTTAAAGTAAAAGAACACTTAAGTGTTAAAGATATTTTAAAAGAAATAAAGTGGAAGATACACATGACACTGACCGCATAATTATGTACCAAATTAAAATTTACTGGTTTGAATTGAAAACATTATAATAATAGATATATCCTTTTCGAGGTTTATCTCTCATTTCTTGAAAAATGTCGAGTCAATCATGCTGTCTCATTTTTTTTTTTTTTTTGGCAGATTTTAATCTAAACTCAATACCAATTTTTGAGTCTGATTCCCAGCAGTTTCTTTTAAGCAGAATTTGATGCTGAGCTAAGTAACCTAAGTTGGATTCAGGCCCATTGGCAGGCAGGCATTTTTCAGATCGCAGGCAGTCCATGGCGATTGTCATCTACATATCTGATCTCTAAGGACATGCTGGAAAAATCTGTGGACACAATCTTCCCATGCTGTATTCACATGCTCCATTCACATCTTTAGCCAGGCTGTTAGAGGCTCGGGCAAGATGACTAAAGGTTTCAAGATGGAAATTTCTGTAAGAAGAAAATAGAAACTTAAAAGACTGATTTCTTATCACCAATTAAGTATTTACTGGGTACTTAATACTAGGTAATATACCTAATAATGGCAAAATGCAATTCAAGTGAACAACCATGCATGATGTTTAGAGATGGTTCTTTGCTGACACCTAAATCAAGCATAAGCAACCAATGAGCAGATATATTAGACATGATCAAAATTAAAACATTTGTGCTTCAAAAGGCATAATATCAAGAAAGTGAAGACAACCCACAGAATGGGAGAAAGTATTAGCAAATTATATACTTGGTAAGTGTCTAGTATTCAGGATATATAAAAAACTCTTACAACTCAAGAGTTAAAAAAGGCAACTCAATTTGAAAATGGGCCAAATATTTCTCTAAATACATGAAAAGATATCCAACATCACTAGTCATTAGGCAAATGAAAATAAAAACTATAGTGAGATACTATTTCATACCCACTGAGATGGCTAAAATAAAAAAACAGACAATAACAAGTGTTGGTAAGGATGTGAAGAAACTAGTTTGCTTAAATACTGCTGGTGGGAATATAAAATGGTATAGTAGATTTGAAATTCCTCAAAAAACAGAGTTCCCATATAACCTAGCAATTCCTCTCTAGGTATTATATACCCAGGAGATCTGAAAACATGTTTACACAAAACTTCCACATGAGCAGATTGCTTGACTGCAGGAGTTCGAGACCAGACTGGGTAACATAGAAAAACCATGTCTCTACAAAAAAATTAAAAAAATAAAAATCAGCCAGGCATGGGAGTGCACGCCTGTAGTCCCCGGCTACTCAAGATGCTGAAGTGGAAGGATCACTGGAGAACAGGAGGTCAAGGATGCCATGAGTCATGCTCGTCATGATCATCCAGCCTGGGCAACAGCATCCAGCCTGGGCAACAGAGTAAGACCCCGACTTAAAACAACAACAACAAAAAACACTTCCACATGAATGAATGTTCACAGTAGCATTATTCATCATAGCCAAAAAGTGGAACCATTGAAATGCCATCAACTGAGTGGATGGATATGGTGTAGTATATCCATAAAAAGCAATGTTATTCAGTCATAAAAAAAGAACTGAAGTGCTAATGTATGCTACCATAAATGAGTCTTGGGAACACTGTGTTTAGTGAAAGAAGCCAGATACAAGAGGCCACACGGTATGTGATTCCAGATATGTAACGTGGACTGGACAGAACAGGCAAAGCAATACACACAGAGATTAATGGTTGCCAGCAGCTGGGAACAGGGGTAATACAGGGTGACTGCTAACAGGTATGGTGTTTCTTTTTGAGGTAATGAAATAATTTAAAATTTGAAAGTGGTGACAGTTTAAACTATGTGAATACACTAAAAACTACCAAATTAAGCCGGGCTTGGTGGCTCAGCCTGTAATCCCGCACCTTTGGGTGGCTGAGGTGAGTGGACCGCCTGAGCCCGCGGGTTTGAGACCCGCCTGGGCAATTTGGTGAGATCTCATCTCTACAATAAATCAAAAAGTCAGCCGGGTGTGGTAGCGCATGCCTGTAATTCTGGCTATTCGGAAGGCTAAGGTGGAAGGATCGCCGGAGCCCAGGAGGCGAGGCTGCGGTGGCCGGAAGTGGCCACTGCACTCCAGTCTGGGCGACCGAGTGAGACTCCAACTCAAAAAAAAAAAAAAAAAAAAAACTACCAAATTGTATACTTTCATCGAGTGAATTGTATGGTGTGAGAATTATATCAATTAAAAAAATAGTTCTTTGTAAAAAATAAAAAACCAAAACCCAAAAGTCTTTATATTCAGAAAACACAAAATCTTTATGCCTCAAAAAAATTCTACTTCTAAAACCACACAACAGTTTCAGCTAAAACTAGATCCCTTAAAGGCACAAAACATTTTTTATTTCTGTATGTATCTCCAGCACCATGCTAATAAATATTAGTTAATCTGAATTATTACACTCATTCCCCCGTTTTCCTTAGATTGGGTCCTAACACCTACTCTTGCTCCCTAAAACTGTTATATTGCTTTTGGCTAGACTTCATATAACCAGAAAACTTCATCACAAATTTAATCAAAGCAAGGATGACAAAAAACAAGAGGGGGCATATTAAATGTAGCATCCTGAATTCATAAACCTTATCATGTCCTTGCCTTATACTAGTCATATATATAAAAGGTGCTGGGAATACAAAAAAAAAAAAAGGATGAAATACAATTCTTCCCTTCTTTCTACAGGCTCAAATTCTAGGTGTCACTAAGGCAACTAAGATAAAGTATGATTGTCACACGAGATAAAATTAAGCACACAGCAAAAAAGGGTACCATACATAAATTCTATTTAATTGAGTGCATTTTTCTTTTATGAACAAATTTGCCTTGTTATATTTTACTTTGTGCAAAAAAACTTGAATGACTGGAAAAAGTTGACAAAGGTTAGACCCAGCATTTTAAAATCTCACAGAAATAAAAGAAACTTATAAATAGCTAAGTCACTTGTCTGGGGTAATGCCCAATTATAGAGTTATATAGTTTACAGCAGAAAAAGACCTTTGAAAAAGAAGTCTGTCTTATTTTAGAGCAAAAAGATTGATTTGTGATCTTCTGAGAGTTAGTGTCCAAGTTCAGTGAATTATCACAACTGTTTCTCCATATCAAAATAAAGCCCACACCACAAAAAGTCCCAGAGGTAATGTCCAGTTGATGAAACCGCCTAGGAGGATAAAGAACTGGGAATGTATTTACCGATTTTTTCTTTCTGATGTATATAATATGAATATCTTCACTTCGATATTCTTCATCATGTTTTTCCAAAGGAATTTTTTCAAAGTCAAAGTCTACTTGAAGGAGCTATAAATGTAAAAGAGATACACTTCAAATTCAGTAATATGAACTGACCTGCGGTAAAAGAAGTCAGCATGGGGCTTATCTCTGGAGTAGTAGTGACTGGCAAGGGGCAATGTACAAGACTTCTGAGATACTGAAAACAGTAAGACTCCAACTTGGAAAAAAAAAAGAAACTATGTATAATGAAAATTTTATATGGTTAAGCAATTTCTATTGGGGTCAAACATATGTAAAAAGCAAATATATCAAGTGCTTAGCATACATGAAAAATTAAGCTAAGCACTTGACATGTGTGCATTTTATATATGTTTGACCCCAATAAAAATTGCTTAATCATAAAAAATTTTCATTATACATAGTTTCTTTTTTTTTTTTTCCAGTTAGAGTCTTACTCTGTTGCCCAGGCTGAAGTGCAGTGGTATGATCATGGGTCATGGCAGCCTCAACCTCCTGTGCTCAGGTGATCCTTCCACCCAAGCCTCTCAAGTGGCTGGACTACAGGTGCATGCCACCATGCCCGACTAATTTTTTTAAATTTTCTTGTAGAGCTAAGGTCATGCTATGTTGCCCAGGCTGGTCTCGAACTCCAGTTCTCAAGCAATTCTCCTGCTTTGGACATTCAAAGTACCGGGATTACAAACGTGAGCCACCATGTCTGATCCTCATTATAGTCTCAAAACTTCACTAACATTCTTCATATTCAAGAAAAACATAAAAATAAAAAAACAATTTTGGCATACATTACCTGAGGCAGTCATGTACCTGCTTTCATATTAAACCAAAAGTGTTTTCAGCAAACAAAACTGCGGGGTTATAAATGTACCCCAAAAGGAGTCACTCATAATGTAATGGATATGCACCCATACAAAGGGCTTGAGTCACCACTAGGGGAAAAAGGGTGAAAGAGATCTAAGACTCTACATGCTATATACTTTATTTCAAAAGAGTTAAAAAAAAAAAAAAAGACCCTGGAAATAGATATCTAGGTTAGAGGGTTCATAAAAACGTAAAGAAAAACAATGAAGTAAACGCTTATCACCTGCATGCTTCTATCAGGTATTCTTCAAAAATCTTATATATGTATTATAATTAATATTATACGAAACTATAGATGATTAATATTTTCCCCAAAGCCAGCATGTTTAATAAACATTGAAAACTGTCTTTTTTTTTTTTTTTTTTAAAGTTGGAGTCTCACTCTGTTGCCTAGACTGGAGTGCAGTGGCCACTCCCGGCCACCACAGCCTCAACCTGCTGGGCTCTGACGATCCTTCCGCCTCAGCCTTCCAAGTAGCCAGAATTATAGGCATGCGCTACCATGCCCGGCTGATTTTTTTATTTATTGTAGAGATGAAGTCTCACTGCCCAGGCGGGTCTCGAACCCGCGGGCTCAGGCAATCCACTCACCTCAGCCTCCCAAAGGCGTGGGATTACAGGCTGAGCCACTGAGCCCGGCTGAAAACTTTCTATAAAAAAAAAAAAAGAAGACAAGACTGTCTCCATTATTATTTAACATTGTTCTGTAGATACTAAACCAACTAATTATAAAAAAGAATCAGAAAAGATGAAAAAAGGTACTTAGTATAATGGTGGGCTGTGAAAGAGCCTCTCCCTTGGGCTCATGCAAGCAGAATGTTTTCCCCACCCCAAGTTACCATAAGATACTTGAACAGGGTCACACAGAGTCTCCCTGAAGGGAAATCACTACAAAGCTAACAGAGCACTTACCTCAAAATATTTTTTCTCGATTTCTGGATTTTTTCCCATTGTTCGTTGTTCATAACAACATATAATACAAGTCTCAAATCCACTGAGGTCCTTTAGGGTTTTCAGCAATGGCTCCAAAGACTATTCAAAAAGGAATATATTTTTTATTTATGACTTGAAAATTGTTCTACTCTAAAAGGGGGAATGAGGAGGTGGAACAGCAATTGTAACACCCCTAGAATTTATCCATCTTTGAATCAGTCCAACAAAGCACATGTATTTCTTTTTTATTATTTGTTTTTTTTGAGTTGAAGTCTCACTCTGTCACCCAGACTGGAGTGCAGTGGCCACTCCCGGCCACCGCAACTTTGACCCGTTGGGCTCCGGTGATCCTTCCGCCTCAGCCTTCCACGTAGCCGGAATTACAGGCATACGCTACCACGCCTGGCTGATTTTTTTTATTTATTGTAGAGATGAGGTCTCGCTGCCCAGGTGGGTCTCGAACCCGCGGGCTCAGGCAATCTACTCACCTGAGCCTCCCAAAGGCGCAGGATTACAGGCTGAGCCACCGAGCCCAGCTAGCACATGTATTTCAAGCTCTAGATCGGCATGATGGTTTTCATGTCATCCCAATACTTTTGAGAGATGGAGATGGGAGGATCGCTTGAGGCCAGGAGTTCATGGGCCTGGGCAATGTAGTGAGACCACCTGCCCCAATCTGTACAAAAAATTTAAAAAAAATAGCCTGAAGTGGTGGTATGCATTTGTAGTCCTAGTTACCCGGGAGGCTGAGGCAGGAGGACTGCTTGAGCCCAGGTCAAGGTTACAGTGAGTTAGGATTGTGCCACTGCACTCCTGCTGGTCAACAGAGCAAGATCCTACTTAAAAACAAAACACCCTCTAACTAATGATTAAAAAATTCCTCTTAACTAATCAACCATTGTATTGATTTCAGTTTCCAGAGCAAGGATTCAAGTGACTGCTCTTTGGAGTTCCCATGGGAAAACAAACAGAATCAATTTTACTTTTAAAAGTTTGATTTAGAGCCAGGCTCGGTGGCTCAGCCTGTAATCCCACGCCTTTGGGAGGCTGAGGTGAGTGGATTG